GTCGAGAGAGCCGGGGGCGGGGGGGCGGGGGCAAGAGTGAGCTCGGAAAAGGCGCCGGATCCACCCATTTTGGGGGTGCTGGCCCAAGGACACCCCAATTGCTGCTTAGTCACTGTGCCTAGTCTAATGTCCCCCAGGGCATCAGGGGGTGTGCGTGTTTGTGTGTGAGGGACCCCCGGGCACGGTGGGGTCTAAAGCGAGCGTTCACATGAATTCAGAGCCGTGTTCAGCAAAGCCACAACTGGGGAAGGTCATGGGGGTGGTTGCAGCCCACAGCCCAGGGGTCACGGGGGCAGAGGTGCTGCCGGGAGCAGTAGCAAGGGAGAGTGGAAATGCTCACATAGACACGTCTAGTTTTCTGAGCTGTGGCGGTGTCTCCTAATGGCTTCCCAAAGATTAGGCTCGCCTGCATTGTGCCCACCCCACCCCAGAGTCTCTGTGGGACCCCTGGGGTGCCTGGAGTGCCGAGGATGCTGATCCTTTATGTTTCAACAGCTGTTGTTTTGTTTCTCATTTGGGATGGAGAGGGGTAAGGGCTGAGCAGACCCTGGGACCCCAGGTTCCCCCGACAGCCATCTTGTACTCAGCCTGGACGTGCAGACTCAGATGAAATGGGAGCACTCAAGGAGGCCCCACCCTGGAGGGCCGAGCGGCCCTCTGCCCTGGGATCCAGTTCAAGGGACTCTCAGTTCAATTTCCTCCTCCTCATTGTTTTTATTGTTGTTTATTTTCTCCTTTTAAGGAATCATGAAGCTAAGAAAAGTTTTGTGCTTTGGGGGTTGATGGACAAAAGTTCTAGCTGATTAAATATGGTCTAACTTATTGATACTGTTTTTTTTTTTTTCCTTTTAATATTGTACTGTGGAGAAAAACTTTTGAGCCATGGAGTTGGTGTTTACAAGAACTTTTCACTTTTGCCAAAATGTTACAATTGAAAGGCATCTGCATCTTTAGTTTCCTAATATTTTCTTAAAAGAACTAGTGTCCTTTTTGTACACTAAACAGGTGAATGCTGATTTTTTTCAACCTACAATAAATTTCACTGAACTGAACCTGTCGGCCCAAGCTGGGAGTGTATGTGTCATTCCCCGGGGGTGGGCGGCTGGTTCTGTGTTGGGGTGGGCTGGGGTGAGGAGGCATGGTGATGGGCGGGGCACAGGCTAGTACTGCTAGAGCCACTGCCCAGGAATGAGGCCGGCAGGTGGAGGACTGAGCTGAGGCGGAGGGCCCTGCAGGTAGGTGCCAGAACAGGAGGCCAGACAGCCTGGTCATGGGTGAGAAATGTCAAGAGATGGGAGGTGGGGCTTCCCTGGTGGCACAGTGGTTGAGAGTCCACCTGCCAATGTGGGGGACACGGGTTCGTGCCCCGGTCCAGGAGGATCCCACATGCCGCGGAGCAGCTGGACCCGTGAGCCATGGCCGCTGGGCCTGCGCATCCGGAGCCTGTGCTCCGCAACGGGAGAGGCCACAACAGTGAGAGGCCCGCATACCACAAAAAAAAAAAAAAGAGAGATGGGAGGTGGAAGCAGCGGGGAGCCATGGCCTGTGTATGAGAAGAGCAGTGCCCCCGGGAGTGTGCAGGGTAGGCTGAGCCAAGCAGGGGGGTCCCCGGGGCTCCCACAGGGCCAAAGCCCCCAGTAGGGGGGCCACATGGGGCAAAGGGAGTGCCCTTATTTGGGGTAACAAGCTGTGACTGACTGATGAAACGGCAATGAGTAACGGCACTGCTTGATTATTCCTCCCAGGCCACACGCTGGGGTGGGGGGTGGGGGGGTCCCCTTGCCCCCCCATGGGGACACGGACACCAACGCCCAGTGGAGCCCCACAGGCTCAGGACACCAGCCGGATGGCCATCATTGCCCCTTGTTCTAGGTGAGGAGAAGGCAGGGGGCAGGTTCTACCCTCCAAGGACACAGTGGGGGGGAATGTTTATTTTAGGAAGGAAAAACAAAGAATAAGACCAGGATTAAAGGGGTCCAGGGGTCAGGGACTGTGGGCCTTAGCCTCTCTGGTGGCCCTGCTGGCCAGTGGCCTTGGCCTGAGTTCTGAGGCGGCCCAGGAATCTGAGGGGCGCGGGAGGGGAGGTCAGGCAGGCCCTGTGGGGAAGAATGTACCCTGCTCCCCAGGCGGCCTGGCTGTGCTGTTCTAAGGGGTAACAATGTCCCTGCCGCCACAGCCCCGGGCCCAGGCCCGACACCTGCCTCCTTCAGCCTCCCGCGCCTCAGCCTCGAGTTGCCTACCCGCCTCCCCCAGCCTCCCTCACGGCCCCCACGCTGCCCCATGGCACCATGGCCACAGGCGGTTCCCTGACCATCCTTTCCGGAGCCGACGGCACCTGAGCCCAGTCCCTCAGGGGCCCAGCAGGGTCTTCCCACCCTCACGACCTGCACCATGGCCAAGGGGCTTGGGGTCACCCACCGGCCCCTGCCACTTGCCAGACAACAACATCTTGCACCCAGATCCTGTGGCCCCTCCTGTGCACCGGGCTCCATCTGGGCACTGGCACTCAGCAGTGACCTCAACAGCTTTGCCCTTGCCCTCGGAAGCCTGCGGTCTGGTGGGATCGGGGGTCTCCAGTCGCTCACTGCTCACTGCCAGGCAGCACGCTTACCCCGTGTCGCACACCCAGGCGGTCCCCGCAATGGCCTTACAGCACCAACTGACGGCTTGGAATCAAAGCAGCCACGTCCCTCCCAGCTGCCCCAACACTGACCCTCCAGGGATCCTGCCCGGGTCC